TTGCTCTAACTCGGAGTCATTTCTCGCCTGATTGAAGAAGTCCTGAATGGCACGCCAATACGAACAAAGTCCGAAAGAAGGTACGTAACAAAGGGCTTCACCTCAACGTGATTAAAAACCCATTCATCGAGTTTATATGCTTCATTGGATCCGAAATCCTCATCGTTTTCCGAGTACATAAAAGAGTGCACACGAGGACAGCTGTCGAAAAGAGTGACAATATCCGGACTACCCCACATCCACGATTCCCTCGACCTGAAAAATGAAAATAAGTGATGTTTTTGTTCAGTTGATGTTCAATAATTGAAAGTAGCGAAAGTGCGATTCCCTATCACCTAAATGCGCCTTCCGCGCCAACCGTATGGATGGGTAACTTGGACTTAAGCGCCTACCCCATAAAGCCGGCCGTTCTATAAAAAACTTTTCACCGATGACGAAAACAAAACAGACAAGTAACTCCGCCCGCTAAACGTGGACCAGCCTCCATCACCTAGAAGAGGAAATGGTTATCCGACAAGTCGACATACTAATAGACTAACAGGGCCGCAGTGGCTAGAACTGTTGCATCAATCTACAGGACAGGATCGCATTCCGCCTAGAAGATTCATTCACGAGGGTACGATAATACTGCTAAACACCTATAGATCCCCAAATTTGCATCATCTTAGGCTTCTAAGGATGCGCCTCGCGTTTTACTTCCATTGATTTCTATTTGCCCGCTGAATGTGATTATGTGATTCGGTCTAGATAACGCCTTTGGGGCCAGCCAATCGACAGGTCGGTATTTCTATCGGAGCTAACGTAGTCTGGGAAGGTGGGGGAGGGAGGATTAGTCGTCAGCTCCTCCTTATACCTCTTCCTATTTAATGTTCAAGCTTAGTGGAGTTTTCTCTCTATGTTCTCCCTGTGGGACCATCTCTAGGGCAACTCCTCGACCTCTCGCAACTACGTGAGCGCCTCTTCATCACCTCAGACAGCTTCGATGCCAGGAAGGCGAGGGATGGAGTGAATAATTAGCTCGAACTATGGTCGATAGGAGAATCGACCTCCAAACTGCAAAGCAAGCGCTATCCCCTGCCACTGCACCGCTTTCACCCTTTCAAGTGAAAGCAGCACTACTGGAAAAAAAACAAGAAAAAAAATGGAAATGATATTGAGCTTGACTGGTTACCTGTTGAAGATACTATCAAACGGCACAGGATTATGCTTCCATCCACGAGCAACTGCACTGACATCCTCTGTGAATCCAGCAAAAATAGCCACATGGCCAGGTCGCGACTCTGTTGGTACATGGGTGCGGGAAATTGCATAAGAGCCCTGAAAAAAAACGAAAGTGTGAAGTAGGAGAACTATCGCCGCTAAACGAGTTGGGAGGGGGGCACGTGGCGGCACGATTAAGCCAGTTCGTCCGCACTCTCGCCCAAGCAGCGATCACTTCGCCACAAGGATGAGACTTTGAGAGCTCTGACGTCAGCACTGTCGTGCCTACCCTCGCCGCACGCCCTCGCCCCAACCTCATAAGCAGATGGTAGGTCGTTGGAGGGGAGGGGAAGGGGCAACAGCACAGGACCTCTAAGTCGCTTCCCCTGTTCAAACCTGGAGCAGACGTTAATATTCGCGTGACTGTCTCCTCTGTGAGACTACACCGTGCTGACTCTGATAGCCTGCCTAAACCTTGAATGGGCAGCGTTCATACTTCGCGACAAAGCGTTTTGAGCGAATCGATGTTCTGACTGAGAAGGAGGATATAGGTATCGATGGACGACGCCAATTTGCTTAAAACGCTGGTTCACTCTGAGCACTGGTTCTTCCTAGGCATCAGATCAATACCTATACTTTCCCTCTCGCTTAGGACGTCGAGCTGCAAAGATAAATGCAGCCTTAGAAAAAACACGAATGGTACCCCCCCCCTCCCCTCCCGCCTCCGCAAGTACGTTACAACCGCAAACTATCCTCTGTGAGGCCATACCTTTCGTTCCCTGATGAGCGAGTGTAGAAAAGGAGATTTTTCGCGATGTTTGGCAAATGTATCAAAGCGTAATCCATCTTAAAGTTTAGAAGTTAAGATAACAACTTTGCAGTAGGTGGAAAGTAATGAAGAAGCATACCTGCAGTAAAAACCACTAGTCGCTTGGCTGGAGCATCTCGGGTTGTGATCTCATGAGCTGGTACATTGGTTACAATAGGAGATGTATAATAAATATCAAATATCGAGTAAATCAGTAGTGCATGGATGAGAACGCCGGCGCAGGCCAAGCGCCATTGCATCTACAAAAGATAGGGCAGGTAGCTTAGCAGAGTATGCGGCCGATCAATAATCGTGCCAGCTGTACGAAAAAAAAACATTTCAAGGGCTCATTCAACAAAGATAACTTTTGAAAGACTTGCAGGCAGCATATTTGCCATAACCATGGATTGGCGAGGGCGTGGCTGCGTTTTCCCTTTGATCATGGCTTATAATGTGTTTTTCGTGAGATAGCTTCATTTGAGACAACTGTCATCTCGGGAAAAGACAAGATTACAATTGCCCCAAATATGCCACCAAAGCAGTCGCCTCCCAAGCTTTCGTGAAACATACGATATAAGTATTAACATTCCAGCGAAGAAGATTCGCGCAGAAAAACAGCAAATTCTACGAAGTTTGATACGCAGTTTTTACTCATTCACATGGCAGCCTCCAACCACGTTTATGAACCGTGAAAGGAGCTGAGTATCGATCACTTGCGCGTAAAATCAATATCTACTTCGAGACCACTCTGTAACTTCACAAAGTGTGGGAACAAGACCGGAAAGTGTATAGGAGGGTGGAAGCTAAGCGCAGAAATGGTCTCCACGACCAGTCTGACCGTTTGGGACGAACAGTGACCGTAGGAACCACCTATCCAATGAGTCTGAGCTCACGAAACTTGCGCGCATGCTTGACGACCGAATGACGTGATTACACAAGGCACATCAAAAATGACGTGTTTTTCCATAGAGGGCGTGGCGAGACTGGAAGAATATATTGGATTGCCGCGCCAACTTCATTCAAGTTGTTGAATTTCTCCTCT